ATTCAAGACAAAATTTAAAGTATAATGTCTCATTCTAAAAAACTGACTCCACATTAACATATACCCGAAAAAAGCGCACATTTTCAGAATGTACAACGAGCAAAGAACTGAAAATGAAAACAAAAAATTAAGTGGATTACTTTTAATTCAATTAATTTCTTTCCCCCCTAAAAAAAACAACAACTGAGAGAATTAAATTTTGCCGAAAAAGAACACACACACACAAGAAACATGAATACATAAACAAAAGTGAAATGAACAAAAAAAAAAAAAAAATAATAAATTGTAAATTTGTTGTTTTTGTTTTTGCAAATTGAGAAAAATAAATGAAGGAATAAGAAAAAAGCAAGAAAATGCAAAGAAGATATAAACAAAATACGAAATTAAATATATGAAGATGATTAAACAGAGACACAAGGGGTAGCTGCTGAGATTAATGAAGAACTTAAATAATGATGACAACCTTTTTGGTTGACAGATATGCATAGCATGTGTGTATTAGGGTGGCATTAAAAATTTTTAAGAAAAATTGAAAAAAAAAAATTGAAACATATTTAAAAGATAATTTTTCTGCTCATGCGCGTTTCATGTTTTGTTGTTTAACTTTCAACAATTTTCGGTTATAATTGAATTTTCAAAATAATTGAATTTTATTAAAAGTATGTATGTTAAGTTCGGCACGGTCGAAATTTTTATAATCTCCATTATGATATGGACATCTCAAAAGTACCTTGAATGCACCAAAACTGATGGGTGACCTTTGAAAAAATATATCAGCAATCTTCAAAATATCGAATAGGGATTCTGTCGCGATTTGGCACCAAAAAATAATCCAAAATATATACTTACAGCCAATTAGGTTGAAAAACGAAAAATACCGAATATTGAGCATACATTTATATGAGGGCTATATCGAAACATGGACCAAAATATCCCATTTACAATACCAAACATCCTAGAATTACTAGCAATGTCTGCGTAATTATTGCGATCTCTATCGTGATTTCACATGACAGATGGACATGACATGATCAATTACGTTTGGTGCGGTTTTCGGTTTATCGTAATTGCGAATGGTGAGTGCTGCCGTGAAATGATATTCAACTTATTGTACCCAAAATACAAGAGCTTGACTTGCGGTTTCAACAAGATCATGCTATTTAACGCCTTTAGACTATATTTTGTGGGGATGGACAATTTGAGGCGGTCATCATTTGAAGGAAATAATCTCCAAGCAATAAATAATATGGACTGTACTATCGATTCGAATTTATGAGTTTTGAAAAACTTTCTTAAAGCACTTCAGTATTTTGAATGCTTATGCCATGTACAGACGAGCGTTGTTCGCTCTCTCGTTCGTTGTTCGAACCTTAATTACGAAGTAATTACTTAGTTCCCCATACAAAATTTGCTGAGCGAACACCGGCTTTTGTACGTTGTTCAATTCGAATCACTCTCTGAATAACCAAGAAATTTGTCCCATCAAAATCAAAATATTGAAGATGAAATAAAAGTAAAAAATTGTCTAGTTTTTATATATGCTCCAAATGCAATAAAAACAAATTTGGGGACAATCAAACAAAAAATTCTCAAAATTTTTATATGTGACATTTGAATACTATCGATTCGAATTTATGAGTTTTGAAAAACTTTCTTAAAGCACTTCAGTATTTTGAATGCTTAGCCGATGTTTCCAACAAACTCACAAAAAATTTACAATATAAGTTTGTTGGAAACATCGGCTAAGGTATTCAACATACTGAAAATGAGACATTCACCAGGGCCCACAATAAAAAACCGGTAATGAAAATTCAAAAGTCGGACGGGGCCGACTATCACCACTTTGGGTACATACAAGAGATGATCATATGTACAATATCCTTTAGATAGAATAGACATAACATCTTTAGAGGATCATTGAAATGGAATCGTACGAAATTAACTGCGTGAAATACATAGTAGATATTTGAACTGAATTAAAACAACCCACACACATACCAATCTTTATTTACATATATAATTATGAAAAATTTAATGTCAATGCCTCCCACCATACCGCAACACATTGCGGTATCCAAAATTTATCTCGACCCAAAATCCAATACACGTTATTCTAGGTTCGATTTTGAACTCTATATACTAATTCATCCTAATAGGACAGACTTTAGTTACTTGGTACAATATTATGATGAAAATATATGAGGGAGCTATATACATTGACAGTATGGTGTACCATTTACGTAAAATCGGAGGAGACTATATATGGGAACTATATCTAAATCGAAACCGATTGCAACAAAACTTTGCATACATCAATCTGTACCTAATTCAGTGCTCTGTGTAAAATTTTGTCTCAATCGGACCAATATTGGCAGTATGATAATCCATTTACATAAAATCGAAATCTCTAAATCTGAACCGATTCCAAAAAAAACTTCGCACACATTAATTTGGACCTATTTCAATACGTTGTGTGGAATATTTTGTCAATCGGCTTAAATTTAACTCTTTGGTCCATTTACATAAAATCGGACGAAGCTATATATGGGAGCTATATCTAAATCTGAACCGATTTCAACAAAACTTTGCATACATCAATCTGTACCTAATTCAGTGCTCTGTGTAAAATTTTGTTTCAATCGGACCAATATTGGCAGTATGGTGTTTCAAACTATATATGGGAGCTATACCTATATCTTAACTGATTTCAACAAAACATAACATATATCAATCTAGACCCAATTCAGTACTCTGTGCAAAATTTTGTCTCAATCGGACCAATATTGGGAGTTTGGTGCAGCATTTACATAAAATCGGACGAAACTATATATGGGAGCTATATCTATCTAAATCTGAAGTCGGTTTTTGTCCGGCTGTCTGCACAACGTACTGATGATAGTAAAGCCTAACATGGCACATTAAGAACCCAATGGTACATTAAGAACCCAATGTTTCATCGATTGCGGCGGAATTTTGCACAACGTATCAAATGGAAACTTTCCACAGTGCGCTGTGCTGCAGCATACCGAATAACGTGTGCCAAGTTGGATTTAAATCGATTTACATAATTTTGCAACGTCTATTAGGATGTATCTCTTAAATATACCCAAAGTGGTAAACGGTATCATATAGCCGGCTCCGCCCGACTTTACTGCTTTCCTTAATGTTTTTATACCCTTCAACACATTGTGGTACAGGGTATTATGTCTTTGTGCATATATTTCTAATAGGCAAAAGGAAACGAGATAGACACGTGGTTCTTTTTGCCGATTTATGCATGTCCGTCCGTCTGTATGTCCATGTTAAGTTGTAAACAAAGTATAGGTCTCATTAAAATCCGAATTGGATGAAAGTTGGCATAGGTCACTTATTTGGCCCAAGGACGAACCCTATTGGAATTAGAAAAAATCGATTCAGATTTAGATATATCTCCCATATATAGTTTCGTCCAATTTTCAGTAAATGGTGCACCAATGTCCCTATATATCATTCGATTTGCACGAAATTTGGCACAGCGTACTGAATTAAGTCTAAAATTATGTGAGTTAAATTCCGTGCAAATCGGTTCAGATTTAGATATAGCTTCCATACATATTTTCGTCCGATTTTATGTAAATGGTGCACCAAAGTCCCTATATATCCTTCGATTTGCACGAAATTCCCTGACAGGTATAATTAAATGTTATGGAGTGAACGAAATGGACTAGAAATTTTTTATGGGAAATGTTGTGCTGCATCGAAGAATGGTGAGAAAATTTTAAAATTGTACTAAAATTACTACTTGAACATTGATGTATTGGTTTGAAATAAGGATATAGATTTGACAAATCGTACTATATGTGTACGAATAGTGAATAGATAGTGGATGAATGGTTATAATCATGAAATATTGTTGAGGGTTGACAATGTATAAATTTTTCAAAACTGGTTCATATTATGATGTGGTTTTAGTTATTTTGATAACAGGATTGCATTTATGTTTATCTTAGAGAGCCTAATTTTCCTAGTGACAAAGGAGATATTTCGGATATAACGTTAATTTCAAGATCCGATCCGAAATTTGCTATGCAACGACGGGTATGGTCCATGGACCTGTAATCACACGGGTATGGTCCATGGACCTGTAATCGGTCAAATTAATGTGGAGGAATTCAAAACGAGTTTTGACGAATCCCAGCATCACCAAACACCAGCAGCACCCGCTATTCTGCTTGTCTTCTTTGATTCAGTTTTTAATTGGTTTGCTTTTGTTTTTATCAATTTTGTTGTTGAGCCGACATGAATGTTTCTTATCAGCAATTATGAATTATTTGTATTCATAAATGAGCTATTTCGGATATAACGGTAATTTGAAGATCTTTTCCAAATGTTTGCAACATATTTTTCTGAGAAGATAAAACCAACCTTTATTTTTACTATTTTCGCATTACAAAATATTACCACCCTAATGCACACATAAATATGCACAATTTCTTTTCGGAGAAAACCACACAAGCTGAGGGTCAAACAGTGATTAATGAAGAACTGTTCCTATGATTACTAGGATTGACATGTGCATACATATATAAATACTAACAATACTAGGCATATGTGTGTATTAGAGTGCTACACATTTGAAAAAAAATAATACAAATCACAATTTTAATTCATGGTATAAAAATGACTTAAAACTTTATTGAAATTATAAAAAATATATAGTTTTCGTCTAAATTTTAATGTTCAGTTGTTAGGCACTTTCATTATTTTCGTTTAATATATTTTACATTAATGACCCACCCTAATGTATACACAATATTTTTTTCATATATAAAAATTAACTTATTTTATGCATGTTCTGCCAGTTTAAGAAGTCGGCTTTTGCTTTGGCTCATCCTCGAACTGAATGACCGCAAAATGTCAATTTTTTGTTATTGTTGTTGGTTTTGTTTTGGGAACTTAATTCAGTCAGACTTGTTAGTTTTTTTTTTTAACGGATATGATTTTTCCTTTTCGATCACACACTACATTGAAGGTACTGGTATAACAGGCTGGAAGAGATGCAATCTGGCATCGGCATGTCCCAATTTGTTGGTGGCATTACAATAGTAGTCACCAAAGTCCAGTTCATTAACGCTATTGATGCGCAGAACCGAGGTGGTGGACTCATGCGATGAGGCTGTATTGGAGATTTTATAATTTGACCCAGACTGCAGTTTAGCGCCATTGCGATACCAAAATACGGCCGGTGCCGGGTAGGCTTGTACAGTACATTCCAGTTCGGCCGCATGACTTATCATTTGGGCAATTTTGGGACGTTGCACTGAGATTTGGGGACGGAATTCCACTTCGACACGAATGAGACGGCGATCTGGTTGCCCCACACCATTTGAGGCAATGCAATAGTAACCACCACGATCCAAACGATGCGCCTCCTTGATGCGTAAAGTTTGACCATCAAAGCTGTTACCACCGGCCGGCATTATGGCACGATTTTCACGTTCCCAGGAAATGGTGGGCTGGGGAAAACCATCGGCATGGCAGCTAATTTCCAAATTTTGTCCTTCGGTGACAAGCATAGATTTGGGGGTATTTTCCTCGGATATTATGGCCGGATGTTTAATGGCCAAATTAAGTTTCTTGGTAATTTTATCGGTGGCCGTGAGAATGACCTGACATTCGTATGTGCCCATATCGGTGGCCTCAATTTTGGTTATTTTGAAGGTATAGGTGGCCTTATTGGCCTTATCATCGTTGGTTTCCACAATTGTGTAGCGGGGATCACTTAAACTGAGGATGTTTCTCATGGACAGGACCACCGAGCCAATTTCACTGGTCCGTTTGGCCCAGCTGACAGACATGCGACCAACATTTTCCACAGTACAATTAAATTCGATATCATCTCCCACACTGGCCACCAAATCGGGAGTTATATCACTGATAACCGGTTGTGCGGAAGTGGCTGCAGCTTGAACTTGTGAACTTCGTGTCAATATGCTGCAGCTTATCAGCAATAAAATTTGTAGAAAATGCATTGTTTTTTCTTCTGGAGTTCTGTTCGGATCTGTGGTTCGAAAACGAAAGAATGTGCGCAAAATATCTGTACCCTAACTCGTACAAACCTTGACTGGTATTTGAATGGATCAACAGCTTACAGCTCAGTCAAAGCTATGTCAGAATGTTGTTTATCAGTGTGTATTCTTCTTCTTATTTTTCTTCTCAAGATTGAAATTATCGGTTAGGGTCGGTCGTTGAGCTGTTTTCTGTTTTTATTGGGGGATTTTATTTTTTATTTTCTCTCCCACACTCACGAGTCTCTTGGATTTCTAAAATTCTCACACAAGAGGATTATTTTTTAACTGGCCGCACTCTCTCCGTACTGTGTGTGAAGAGGTGAAGAAGAAGGGAGCCTGACTTTCGATTTTCTTTTAATTCTCAAGAATTCGATGTTTTTGCTTCGTTTTTTGTTGTTTATCTTTTATTTCAAATGCAGGCTGACTATGCAACGGCGGATATTGTCCATGGCTCTGTAATCACACACTCAATCCACTTCGGTCAAGTTAATGTCGAGGAATTCACAGTTTATTTTCATAGAATCCCACCACCACCAGCAGCAATTGTCGCTGCGGTTATCTTCTTGGGCTCAGTTTTAAATTGATTTGTTGTTGTTTTTATCAATTTAAACTTCTTTTGTTGATGAGGCGACATTAACGTTTCTTTTCCGCCATCAAGAATTATTTGTATTCTTCTTCTTATTATTTTTTCAACAAGTAACGATTTTGTGCTCGCATTTTCAAGAGTTCAAAAACTTTGTTTTTTTATCACAATCAGAGTTTAAGCGTTTTATTTCACTGAAGTGTTGTTACACGTTTGTGGTTTTTAAAGGTAATGCCATGGAAATCACAACAATCGCCAGGTTTTATAGGTAACGCAAAATCCCGTGGAAAACACTTTCTCAACGGCTCGGCACATACACCGCTCTGAATCTACTTCGAGATGGTAATGGTAAATTAATGGCCTTTAAAATGCTCAGCTTTGTAGTACATACACACTCACCTAAAATTTCCCTTTGACCTTACCAACAACAGCAACAAAAAAACAAAAAGAGGAACACCGAACCAGACATCGAGGCCACTTGGTTGGGAAACAAACGAAGAACCCATTAGAAAATGTTTCTTAGAATTTTTTCCCTTCGTGTTAGGTAGCAAAATATCGAGAGAATGAGAGGGAGTAGGTTTTCTTGTTGTCCCACCAGTGGCCAGTCAAATTGTTTATGATTTATGACTTTTGCTGTCTGTCTGAGTGTCCGTCCGTCGTTCTGTCTGCCTATATGTCTAAATGTGTGTTTCTTCTTTTATAGGTAGACACAATAACAGCAATTGTCTGTCTGATCTAAACTTTAAAAAGGGCAGGGTCATTGCTAATGGTCAGATGTCTGTTTGTGTGTTGCAGCATAATGGCGCTGTGCTTCTAGCATGATATTTTCATGGGAATTGTTTTTTATATTAAATAATTTAAAACAATTAATTTAATACGATATTTGAATACAATAAGGATTTGCATATTTTTTATACCCTCAGGCTTATTGCTACTGAGGGCATATACACATTGAAATAAAAATATTGGGAACATACCAACAAGTGTACCTATACCGACATTTGTACAAACCGATTATGGTCCTAATTATTGGTCCTAGACCCCATGTGTCTTTGGACCAAATTTGTTTCAAAAAATTTTGATTTCATCTAAACTTTGCCCATCTTATTATTTCATCCAATATTAGTTCAAGTTCGAACATGGGGAATATCGGTCCACTCCTTCTGCTACCTTCCACGCAGGGGCTTGGCCTAAACGGGGTTACAGTTCATATATATGAATATAACTAAGGTTAATTATCGATCCTTATGTTCTAGTTTTTTTCGTATCTTCCGCAGATGAAATCATTACAACAGAGTCTAAGAACCAAACCATGAATATTTCGATGAGTTACAAACGGAATGGCAAAATTAATGTACCCTCCATACTATGTTTGGAGGGTATAAAAAATGTGTGTAATTTCGAAGACCTCCGCAAATCATAGGCTGAGGGTATATATCTGCTGGCAACACAGACTGACTATTTTTTACTTGTGAGCCTATTTAAAACCATGGATCTATATAGAATTTTATTTTTTATTTCTTAGCCACTAAGTGGCCGAAATGCCAGAATACAACGACTACGGTTAGAAAATGTGGCAAAACCTTTCAAAATATAGAAAATGGGTATGGGGTCTATTATAAATCAGTCACCTACAATTACACATAACAATTTTTCCGAATTCGAAACCAAACTCTGCACATGTTTCTGATGTAGAGCCGATGCAGTTCGATGGAAACATTCGATGAAGCACTTTTTTCACTTTGATTGAGACACCATCGAATCATAGTCTTTAAACGCTTCAATATACTCTTCTTCACAATGATTTATTCATGTTTCGAATTCCATTGAAGGCTACACAGATTTAAGAGGTCAGAGCAGCAATTAATCGGCTGAAGAATAATCCATCAGCAGGTGCCGAATTATTCAAGATTGATGGTCAGATGCTGGCCAGGAGCATGCACCAGCAGATTAGTACAATTTGGCTAGAGGAATGCATGCCCAATGGTTGGAACCTAAGCATCCTGTGTCCCGTGTACAAAAAAGAGGACAAGACTATATGTGTCAACTGTAGAGGAATAAGTCTCCTTCCCATCGCATATAAAATGCTATCCAGTGTGCTGTGTTTACGACTGAAGCCAATGGATAGTGACATTATAGGACCATACCAATGTGGCTTCAGGTCTGGCAAATCCACCATTGACCAGATTTTCACTCTGCGCCAAATCCTGGAAAAGACCCACGAAAAACACATCGACACATTCCAACTATTCGTCAACTGTAAAGCCGCATTCGACAGCCCTATCCGTTCAAACGTGTTTAAAGCCATGTCTTCGTTCGGCATTACTACAAAATTAATACCGATATGCAGGTCCTCTCCTTCTGGTATCTCCCCCACTAAGGGTTCATATTTTATAAACTTGTAAATTTAGTTTGAAGCGAATTGAATAACCGATGTCATCAAAACTAGAGACCATAGGCTGAGGGTATATATTTCCCGGAAACCCCTACTGACACTTTAAATTTTATACAAAAATCGGGTCGGAAATGAATATTTCGATGAGTTACAAACGGAATGGCAAAATTAATGTACCCTCCATACTATGTTTGGAGGGTATAAAAAATGTGTGTAATTTCGAAGACCTCCGCAAATCATAGGCTGAGGGTATATATCTGCTGGCAACACAGACTGACTATTTTTTACTTGTGAGCCTATTTAAAACCATGGATCTATATAGAATTTTATTTTTTATTTCTTAGCCACTAAGTGGCCGAAATGCCAGAATACAACGACTACGGTTAGAAAATGTGGCAAAACCTTTCAAAATATAGAAAATGGGTATGGGGTCTATTATAAATCAGTCACCTACAATTACACATAACAATTTTTCCGAATTCGAAACCAAACTCTGCACATGTTTCTGATGTAGAGCCGATGCAGTTCGATGGAAACATTCGATGAAGCACTTTTTTCACTTTGATTGAGACACCATCGAATCATAGTCTTTAAACGCTTCAATATACTCTTCTTCACAATGATTTATTCATGTTTCGAATTCCATTGAAGGCTACACAGATTTAAGAGGTCAGAGCAGCAATTAATCGGCTGAAGAATAATCCATCAGCAGGTGCCGAATTATTCAAGATTGATGGTCAGATGCTGGCCAGGAGCATGCACCAGCAGATTAGTACAATTTGGCTAGAGGAATGCATGCCCAATGGTTGGAACCTAAGCATCCTGTGTCCCGTGTACAAAAAAGAGGACAAGACTATATGTGTCAACTGTAGAGGAATAAGTCTCCTTCCCATCGCATATAAAATGCTATCCAGTGTGCTGTGTTTACGACTGAAGCCAATGGATAGTGACATTATAGGACCATACCAATGTGGCTTCAGGTCTGGCAAATCCACCATTGACCAGATTTTCACTCTGCGCCAAATCCTGGAAAAGACCCACGAAAAACACATCGACACATTCCAACTATTCGTCAACTGTAAAGCCGCATTCGACAGCCCTATCCGTTCAAACGTGTTTAAAGCCATGTCTTCGTTCGGCATTACTACAAAATTAATACCGATATGCAGGTCCTCTCCTTCTGGTATCTCCCCCACTAAGGGTTCATATTTTATAAACTTGTAAATTTAGTTTGAAGCGAATTGAATAACCGATGTCATCAAAACTAGAGACCATAGGCTGAGGGTATATATTTCCCGGAAACCCCTACTGACACTTTAAATTTTATACAAAAATCTGTCTTCAATATTACACATTTAAACTCTTCTCCTGGCATTCATCGTAAATCTGCTGTGATTTTTCATTTTCTAATTCCGGCAGATATTACATTTCGATTGTAGAGAATTGTAACAACAGCAGTTTAGTGAAGTCGTTATACAATCCATAACACATTTCGTTACAAATCTTTAAATCTTTCGAAATTTATTTTCTTCTGTTAAGTCCAGTTCGTATCTAAGATGGTGTGGCATTGTATGCATGCATGTATGTGTATGTGTGCCCAATTCTTATTTGCTTTTCTAAATGTTCTCTAAGAGACACTTAATTGTGGACTGCTGATGATGACAATGATAATGATGATAGCGATGCGACTGCTGCAGAAGTTCTGCTATGCTGGCAGATGGAAAATGGGCGAACGGCGAACGGCCATGGACCATGACCATGATGATCATCATTGTCTATTTGACTTTTAGATTTTGGATTATGTGTGTGGATTTTGTGTGGCATGTTAGCTTTTGTTGCTGTGCTTGTGTGTGTGTGTGTTCGTATTTTTAATGTTCAAACTAGAAGTCATATGAAGAAGACATGCTCTAACCAGGGTAATATAAACTTAACATAATAATAATAAGAAATCTTTTAATAGAAATCTTCTTAAATACTCTTGCA